TGTATAAGGTCCCCTCAGACACAAACGCCCTGACCCAAGTGAGCTCGCCAGTGTTCTGAGCTCCAGCAGCTGCTCCTAGCCAGCGGAGTCAGGGGGGCAGGGGAGGTGGGGAAAGAGAAAGTGGCCTGAGGTGAAAACTCCCATGGAGTAGGTCTCCTGAGGCCCAGGAACTGGTCTCACTGTGGGGCTGAACTCCCAGCCTCAGTCTCCCCTCTTGTCCTACAGGCATGGCAGTGCTCTGTCCTCTGAGGACTCAGGGTGAGGTGGGGTGGGGGCAGGGAGGACGGGCACACCTCCCCTCGTTGTAAAGACTCCAGCACCCAACACCTGGCTTAGCCCTTCCTGAGGACCCCCTGTGCCCTGAGCCTAGCCCTATGTCCCAGGGTCTTCCTATATCGGTTGCCCGCCCCTGTTTGTGGATTGGGGTCTTCAGGCTGGCAGAGACCAGGTACTTGCAGCCCCCGGCTGGCTTAAGGTCTCTGCCAGCACCCTAGGGCCCAGGTCGGACGGGGTGGTGCTGTGCAGGGTGGTGGCTGAGTGGGAGGGCGCGTGCCTCAGGGGGAGGTGGCCCTGGAGGGCGGGCTGCAGACCTCCGCAGTGGGTTGTCCCGTAGAGCGTGTAACCACGATGACACAGACACTGGAAGCTTCCGGGGGAGTTGATGCAGGTGTGGTCGCAGGCCCGCTGGAAGGAGCACTCGTCGATGTCTGAGTGGCCACAAGGAGACAGTGTGGGGGAGGCCCAGCACACACATGACCCACAATCAGCATGCGTCTTCAGGCTGCTCCTCATTTCCCACAGTGCCCCATTAACCTTATTACCCTGGGTTCAAAGGCACCTCAAATCTTTTCTGGAGACTGGCTGGGTAGAGATATTTTGAATACAGGGTTATTATGACGGTTACAAGGCTCTGCCAGTTGGCTATTTCCATTCTTCAGCGTGATTAGGGTCAGTGTTTAATTCACACTGGTAGGGTCACTATGAGTTGGAGCCGACTCAATGGCACTTGACAACAAGGTAGCCCTAACAGTGTGCAAAATGTGTCTCTGAGCTTCCTGGCAGCCTTGGTGAAAAGGGAAATGAGGAAGGGCTAGAGAGTGCTTGGTACTGGAAAGAGGGAAATGAATCACAGGCTCACAGGGATCGGACACTCTCATACACGAGCTCATGTGACTTCATGACCTCCATGTGTCTCCAACAATGTGAACACAGGAAGGACACCAGCCCTTCCAGGGAGGGTCTGGGAAGAGCTCCCCATGTGGTGCCTGCACTTGGCCTTGAATGGGAATGGGGGAGGGCGGGCACTGAAAACAAGGACAGTGGGGGTCCCCCTACCTCCGCTGGGCCTGCCTGGGGACTGTATGGAGGGACTCCAGGGGCCTTGCCATGAAGGCCCCAAATGTCAAGTGAAGAGTTTGGACCCCCATTCCTATTTGAGCTGGGGAACCCAGGGAGTGGAGGTGGGGTGGGGGAGGAGTCTGGAGTAGGTGCAGAGGACCATCCGCAGCCAGTGGTGACCTCCCTGACCAGCATCGCATGCTCACCATCGGGGTGGGGGTGGGGGTCTCCTGGGATTTCTCACAGGCTCAGTCATATGCTGTTCAGTGCACCCAGGGGACAAGCAGATGATGCCCTGCCTCACCCTCTGCAATGTCTCCTAAAGTTGGTGCCCCCATGGATACCCGCCTTATTCCTCTGGCCTCACCCCACGCCACAGGGTTCCTTATCACTCTCCTCCCCCCACCCCTGCCCCCCAGCACCCAGGCCCAATAGCCTCGCCCCCCACACTAGGCACCTCCGGGAAAATGCCTATTCATCCTTCAACCCATTGTACCAATGCTGCCTCCCCTAGCCAGCTTTTCTGGCCACCCTGTCCATGGCCCCTCCTCTGGGCTCCCTCTGCATCCTGTCCTGCTGCTAGACTGGCCCTGGGCTGTGCAGCTTGTCTCTGGATCTCCTTCCATGAGCCCTGCTCCCCGCCAGCCACACCAAGGACTGTTGGAGAGGGCTTGCAATGTGCCATGCATTCCACCAGGTGGCAGCAGGCCACCTGTGAAGCCAGGAGAAGGCAGAGGGGAGCTGAGGTGCTGAGTGATATCCCTGACTCACCATGTCACCTCTCTGTGCCTCAGTTTCCCAGCTATCAAAGGGGGAGGTGGGTCTGTGGTGTATGCTGAGGGAGACGGGAGGGACCCCTAGAGAGATGAGGTGTAAGGTGCCTGGTCCCAGGTGTGGTGAGTAGGAGCGATGGAGAAGAGCTGACCAGGGTCCCAGGTGAGGCTCACCTTGGCAGGTGCGTTCGTCTGTCAGCAACTTGTAGCCCTTGTGGCAGCCGCACTCGAAGCTGCCCACGGTGTTGCGGCAAAAGTGGTCACAGCCACCATTGTTCACCTGGCACTCGTTGATGTCTGCAGGGGTGGGGGTGGGGTGGGGGCAAAGAGTGAGTTCAGCCTCCTGGTGGGGTGGACGGCTGAGGGCTGACCCTGGTCGGCTGGGTTACAATGCCAAGGTGCAGCCCTCCCAGACTTCAATGCTCTGCCCCCTGTCCCCGAGAGACTTGGTGAGTCAGCACCCATGGCTTCATGGACAACAGGGACCATGACACCTGTACCCCTTCTATCCACACAGCCAGGGAGATGGCTGAGAGGCAAATGACCAGCCTTTCTCAAAGAGGAGCGATGGCCCATTTTACAGATGAGGAAACTGAGGCTTCGAGGGCACAGGGATGGGCTCAAGATGAGACAGGAGGTAAGGGGGAGCTGGGTTTGGACCTGGCTTGGTTTCAGAGCTTGTGGTTTTCCAATGGCCTCACTGCTCCATCTCCCATCTCCCATTGAATGAGCTGTGCTCTGAGGGACAGCTGTCCAGCCCCACAGGAAATGGGTCTCCTACAGTTCTTACCTAACCTAAAGGTCAATGGACAGTTTGAACCCACCAGCTGTTCTTGGGGAAAGGTGAAGTGGCCTGCTGCCGTAAAGACGGGCATTTCCTAAGCATTTCTGCTCTGTCTATCCTGTGTGGCTGCTGTGAGCTGGAATCGACCAGGCCCGATCATCTCTGCTTGTCTGCTTCTCCTGACGGGGCACTTTCCTCTCTCAGCACAGCCTGTAGGCACGTCTCCTGAAGGTGCCCCTCACTATGGGCCCTGAGCTCATCCGGGCTCTGTCCTCTGCCCTGTCCAGCCTATCTGTGGAGCATCTCTTCTCTGGGTGTCAGGCTCCTGAGGACCCCAAACTTCCTCTTGGGTCCCACCCTTCAGACCCCACTTCCTGGCCATCCTTTCCCGACATGCCTCGGATTAATCATAACAAAGGTGAGCAGGAATTTCAGAGTGGTGGGTTTATCCCAACTCCCCTCTGACCCTATAGGACAGAGGGAGTCCTGGTACAGTGCTGTAGGATAAGCACTCAACCATAAGGTCGGTATAAACTGCAAGGTTGGCAGTTCAAACTCGCCAGCTGCTCCTCGGAAACCCTATACAGGGTTGCTATGAGTTGGAACCGATTTGACGGCACTTAACAACAACAACAACAACAACAACATACAACATACAACAGAGTAAGGTTTCTGAGGAGCCAAAGGAGCTCTGGTAGCGTAGTGGTTACAAATCGGGCTGTGAACCACAAGGTCAGCAGTTTGAAACTACTAGCTGTTCCGCAGGAGAAAGATGAGGCTTTCTGCTCCTGTAAAGATTTACAGCCTTGGAAACCTTGTACAGGGTCGCTATGGGTCGGAACCGACTCCACGGTACTTAACAACAACAACATACGACTGAGTAAGTTGAGGCTACAAATGTGTTCGATTACTACATCGTTCTCCTGCAGAGCAGCTGGTGGGTTTGAACCACTGACCTTTTGGTGAGCAGTCCAACATTTAACCCACGTCCCCACCAGGGTTCCTTTCCCCTAGGGTGCTCCCCTGTACCCTCCTCACCTTGGGCAGCCCGCCTGAGGCACCCCCACCCCAGGCTGTGTCAGCCTGCACAGACTCACTCTGTTTGCCATTTCCGTGCTCACCACGAGGGAGGGGAGGTCTGTGGGCTCACTAGATGGCGTCCACCTCTAGCCCCGCCCTCATCAGCTGGGAGCTTCCACAGTCCTCTCATCTCCTTGAACATAATGGAGGCTCTAGACGTGTTCACTGCATCTGTTCCATTCAGATGGCCCATCCTCATTATTATTAGATTTTATCATCAATCTTTATAAGTCAAAACATTGAGAACCTGCAAGTGAATGTCTGAGGAGGAGTCGCTTCCGACTCATAGTGATCCTGTATAAGGTTTCTGAGAAGCAGAGGTTAACCTTGAATCGCTGGCCTTGCAGTTCAGCGCATAAACCGGCAGTACCACACCAGAACGCCTCTGACTCACAGCAACGCCTGTATAGGGTTTCTGAGGAGTGGCTGGTGAGTTTGAACTGCCAACCTTGTGGTTCAAACAGACTTGCGGTCCAGTGCATTACCCTATAACACTACACCAGGACTCCGGACACCTGCTCTCTGGGTGTGTGGAGGATCACATGACCCAGGGGTACTCGGAGATTTTGCCAGAAGCAAGCAGGGCGACAGGTAACACAACACTCCGCGGTCCTGTGCTCTGGGGTGGGTGGGGGGGCTCCCCTCACGGCAGCTTTGCTGCTGGACGAGGCTGCTGAGAGTCACTGCTTCTGATAGTTCATAATCCCTGATTTACGACGTACGCAAGTTGGATGTACCGTCCATCTTTTCATTCGTAACATGGAGTTGTAGGAGAAGCACTTGACCTAAAGGTTAGGTTGAACGGCAAGGTTGCTGGTTCAAACTCACCAGCCGCTCCTGGAAACCCTATACAGGGTAGCTATGGGTCGGTACTGACTCTACAGCACTTAACAACAACAACAGTATTAGTAGTAGGTTAATGAGAACAGTAGCATCAGCAAATGACAGGCTGCAACATTGTATATGTTACAAATGACTCGTAAAAAGATGTACGGTGCGTTCGACTTGCATATGTCGTACGTTGGGGATGATGTGTATTATCAGAAGCAGTGTATTACCAGAACCCTCGTCCAGTTGCAAAACTGCCCTGAGGGAAGCCCACCCCCCAGAGCACCAGGACCTCTGGGTATTGTGTTTGCTTCTTGTGGAGACTCTGAGCACCCCGGGCCACGTGATCCTCTACACACCCAGATAGCAGGTGTCCGGAGTCCAGACGGGTCACGGAAGGTCAGCCTGGGGACCTGTGAAGTCTCAGGCCCAGAGCACAGAGGCAATGACCCTAGCTGTGTGGTCTTGGGAAGGGGACAGCATCACGGTCCCCACAGGGATCTCCCTCAGAGCCCCTCCTTAGGCCCCCCAGCCCTTCTCCTGAGGGTTGGCAGCTAAGGGTTGCTATAGTGAGCAGACAGGAGAGGGTGGCATGTTTGCAGAGGCCCAGGCTAGGTTGCTGCTGCCTGGGGTCAGCCCCTGGGAGGGAGCCCCAGACATCACTGGGGCAATAAGCTCCCACAGTGACCCAACGCTGCCACTGATACTGGGGTCGGGGCTCGGTGTGTCCCCCTCCCCGCTGCCCGAGCTGGATACCTCCTTGGCTGCTGCAGAACAGAGCAGTCAGGCCCAGAGTGAGGTGCGCTGCAGGAACAGATGAGACCCCCTCTCCCCGGTCACGCACCACTTCACAGAATATACAGGGCTTGCCGGGATGCGGTGGGGCTTTTCCTGGGCAGGGACCCTTACCCCCTCGCAAACTCTGGGACAGAGCAGGGCTCACTCATTTCAGGGATGAGAAGTTGCAGGAGGAAGGCTGGGAGCCTTCATCCATCCCTGCCTTCCTGGGCTACTGTGTCCTGGCCAGTAGGCCTCCTCATGCCCTTGAGGAAGGCCTGCTCAGTCTGCCTGACTGCCTGACCTTCCCTGCCCCAGGGCTACTGCCCACCCCCCACCTGTCCGCCTCTGTGGACAGGGCCGCCCCTGTAAAAATCTGCCCCTCTGGAAGTCTTCTGGAACTTTCTCTCTGGAGTGAGCTTCTTCCGGTTCACGGGACATGCCATTGTGGCGTAGGGGTGGACGTCAAGGGCAGAGCCAGGGTCCAGAAGGAGACCTTCCAGAGTCACTGCCCAGGAGTGAGACAGACTGAATAAGAGTCAAGGGTGACCCTAGACAAGGGGACTTTGGGGGTTCTAGAGTAGAACCCTCAGATGTTGGAGAGACAGTGAGTATGTGTCAGAGAATGAAGGTGGGGGGTACACACAGGGACACACAGCAGGACAACTGCCCCTGCTCCCCTCTCCTGTCCCACCAAGGGGTACAGACTGACAGTTCGGGAGGTATGGGAACATGGGCACCATGGCTCTAGTCAGATAAAATCTTTGGCTGGATGCTTACCTGGCCCAGGACATGAGAGGGAGGGAGGGGGTTCTTCCAGACTGTTCTGGAAAATATAGGGAGGGGCTGGTACCTCTGAGGACTCTGCTTGGGGAAAAGCCAGTCTGGAGGTGAAGCTGAAGGTGCCAAATAGCCCCCGTGTCCCTAGGCAGTTCAGTCTAAATGCCCCCACGTGCCCACCCTGCCTTGACCTGCCTCACAAGTCCCAGGTGCCCCAGTTTTCAGTCCTGGGTTTCCTGAGCCCTGTCACCTCCACTCTCTGGCCATCCTCTTTGCTTGACAGCCACTTTCTACCACTCAGAAAACAACACCGAGCTTTTGAAATCCCCCCTCTGATATCTTTCTATGGACACCCCAGGCCAGGGCTTGCACGCCAACTGAGGAGCTAGAACCCAAGGTTCACCGGGAAGTCCTTCTGGGCTGGACCCCCCAGCCAGGTTCTGCACAGTTCCAGTATGAGCCCAAGGCTTGAGGAGGGCCGACCCTCAGGGTCTAGAGGTCAGCATTTGGCTTCCAGAATTTCCAGATGACTCTGGACATGTCCCAGGAGGAGGCCATCACGCTGGGTAAAGTGGAGGGTCGGAGACATAGAGGAAGCCCCCCCGAGACGGACTGGCACAGTGGTTGTAGTGTGTAGGGTGGTGTAGGGTCCAGCAGTGTTTCGTTCTGTTGTGCGCGGGGAACCGACTCAATGGCACCTCACAGCAGACAGGAAGACACGATGATGTCCACATCATACAGCTCTGGATTCTGATGACCTGAAGTTTCATGGTGCCAGGGGCCTTCCTACTAAACTCCATGAAAACACCCAGATTGCACATTTCCCACCTTCACTGCTCCCTTTGGTCCACACCACTGTCAGGTGGAGCCTGGGTGTTGGTCCAGCGACTGCTGTCCCAGCAGTGTCCAGGGACTCTTTTCAAAACGCAAACCACAGTGGATAGTCCATTGCCTATCCAAGGCCAAATTTCTTGCTGTGGCCCCAGACCCTGTTCTCTGCCCCCCTCAGTTTTCAGAGATCTCGACACCACCTTGCTGGACATGGTGTCCCTGACCCTCCCACCTATGGACTCCCAGCCCTCAGCAATAGAGGCCTGCCTTGGCCTCCCCAGCCCCGAGTCAGCCCCTGCTGACTTTTTTTCTAACTTTCATTGTGCTGATGTTTTTCTAACACTCTGGGTTGGGTCCGCCGAGTCACTTCTGACTCAGAGCGAGCCCATGGACAGAGCAGAATGGCCCTGGGAGGTTTTCTTGGCTGTTACCTTTACGGATGCAGATGGCCAGCTCTTTCTCCTGTGGAGTGACTGGTGGGTTTGAACCACCAATCCTGTGGTTAGCAGCTGAGTGATGACTCACTGAACCACCAGGCTCCTTGTTGTCATTAAGTGCCGTCGAGTTAGCTCTGATTCATAGCCACCCTGTATAGGGTTTCCAAGGGATGGCTGGTGGGTTTGAACCGCCAGCCTTGTAGTTAGCAGTCCATTGCATATTGAACAGCGCCACACCAGTCCTTCCCCAGGGTTCCTTGTTGTTGTTGGTAAGTGCTGTTGAGTTGGTTCCGACTCATAGCTACCCTGTATAGGGTTTCCGGGAGTCCTGGTGTGGTGCTGTGGGTTCATGCACTAGAATGCCAGGTTGGTTTGAACTTCAAGGTCAGCAGTTCAAGCTCACCAGTCACTCCTCAGAAACCTTATGCAGGGTTACTATGGGTCGGAACCAACTCGACGGCACTTAACAACAACATAGGGTTTCCAAGGAGCGGCTGGTGAGCTTGAACAGCTGACCATGCTGTGACTGTACTGTTCACACCAACCTTACGGTCCAGCGCATTAACCTGCAGCAGGCCACCAGCGCTCCCAGCACTCTGTAATTACATATATGCTCACGCTGCCGCACGGTAGAATGTGAGTCTGTCTGCGGTTCTATGTATGAGAGCCCTGAGGTCAGGGGAGGCTGTGTTTCCTGTCTCCCTCACACCTGCACCAGGTGGGAGCCCAGCCAACACAGCTGTTATGTGAGTGAATGGGCCCATCTCTAACATGAGGCCATAGGAAGTGAGGGTCCTAAGGGCAGCCAAGCTCGGGCATTCTTCCAACGAGGAAGGTCTGACCAAAGGGCTGAGCCGGAGCTGTCTGGCTTGAGATTCAGTTGTTTTTGGAGGAATCTCAGGAACCACATCTATTGGGGCCCTGGACTGGGGGTCCTGACAGTGGATAGCCCTCATCAGTGCCTCCTGACCCCCAGATGTGGGGTCAGGCCTGTTCTCAGTGGCTTCCTTTGTATGGCTGGCCCATTTGATGGGGCTTGGTGATGCACTGTGGACCACAGCCCTCAGCCATGGAGCCCCTCGGTCTTCCAATCCTGGGTCCACGCTGGGCCTTTGGACCCATAGCACCCTGGTGAGAGAGCAGTTTGACATCACGCTGTCCCAGGCTCTGTGACATGACATGGCCTTGCCTCTGTGCACATCACTGGGCTGGACACACATCCGTGGCCTCCTCCAGGGATGTCTGGCACTCGAGGCCTTGTGGGAAGACTCGGATGTCATGGGCTACTCCCGCCTCCAGAACGTACCTCAGCCGCTGACAGGCCAAGTGGGTTCTCATATAAACAGGTAGAAGAACTGTCATTTCTGACAGTTATAACTGGGTACTTCCCAGCTTGGGAGTCTCGAGCTGGTGAGGAAAGAGGAGTTGTCCACCATCTACTAATTTTTACAGCTTCAATGAACCCACTTCCCACTAAAGACACCAGAGTCCTAGGACAACATGGATGCAAGTTCCCCTCCCCTTGCACGTCCACGCTGTCTGCCCTTTCTGGTAGGTGTTGGAGACCAGTTGGACTTACAGGGACTTGAAGGCCATTTTCACTGGGGTCTTTGGTCTTTAGGTGTCCTAGCTCTGACCCTGAGCTTGGTGTGGCACTAGGGTAAGCACAGCACTGCTAACAGCAAGGTCAGCAGTTCAAACCCATCAGTCACTCTCAGAACTGACTTGATGGCACCCATCACCATCCACACAACTCTGACCCGGAAGGACAAGGGCTGTTGTCGCTGTTAGGTGTTTGTGAGGTGGTTCCCCTCAGAATGACTCCGTGCACAACAGAAACGCTGCCCAGTCACGTGTCATCGTCACAGTCACTGCTGTGTGGGAGCCACTGCCATGCGTCTCCCTGACGGCCTTCCTCTGTTCACTGCCATGCGTCTCCCTGACGGCCTTCCTCTTGTTCACTGCTGTGCGTCTCCCTGACGGCCTTCCTCTTGTTCACTGCTGTGCGTCTCCCTGACGGCCTTCCTCTTGTTCACTGCCATGCGTCTCCCTGACGGCCTTCCTCTTGTTCACTGACCCTCTCCTTTACCAAGCACGATGTCCTTCCTCCTGGTGACATGTCCAAAGTGCACGAGATGATGTCTGGTTACCCTCCTTTCTAAGAGGCCTTCTAGCTGCACCGCCTTCACCCAGGACAGATTTGTTTGTTTATTCTTCTGTCAGGCCATGGTACTTTTCAGTATTTTTTGCCAACATTAGAATTCAAATGTATCAATTCTTCTAGAACCTTCCTTATTCATTATCCAGTTTTCACATGCATTTGAGGGTGATTGAAAATACCATGGCTTGGGTTGGTTGATGATGCATGGTGGGGATTGTAACCATGGCAATGTAACGATATACGATATGATGAATGTAAAGCTAATGTTCTCCCATGTAAACTATCACATAATTCACAATTATAAAGAAAATACCACGGTTTGGGTTAGGTGCACACTAGTCCTCAAAGTGACGTCTGGGAACTTCAGACACTTATTTGTGCTCATGAGGAACCTGTATGTATATAGATCAAGAGGCAGTTGTTGGAGCAGAACAAAGGAATACTGTGTGGTTTAAAAATGGGAAATGATGGGCTTCAGGTTGGATTCTTTTATCATACTTGTTCAATCTGTATGCTGAGCAAGTAATCTGAGAAGCTGGATTATATGAAGAAGAATGCAGCATCAGGATTGGGGGAAGACTCATTAACAACCTCAATATACACACAGCCTTGCTTGCTGAAAGCAAACAGGACTTGCTGTAAGTCACAGACTACAGCCTTCAGTATGGCTTATACCTCAACAGAAAGAAGCCCCAAATCCTCAAAACTGGGTCTGTAAGCAGTGTTGTGATCATTGGAGAAAAGATTGGTGTGGGTACAAGACTTTCAGTTTACTTGGATCCATAATCGACGCTCATGGATGCAGAAGTCAAGTAATCACATGACATATTGCGCTGGGCAAATCTGCTGCCAAAGACATTTTGAAAGTGTTAAAAAGCAAAGCATGTCACTCTGTTGACTAAGGTGTGCCTGATCTGAGTCATGGTTTCTTTGTTGTGACTCTAATTCATACTGACCCCCATGCGACAGAATAGTACTGTCCCATAGGATTTCCTAGGCTGTCATCATCATGGGAGGGGTAGCCAGGTCTTTGCTTCTGGAAGCAGCTAGTGAGTATGAACTGCTGACCTTTTGGTTAGTAACCAAGCACTTAACCATTATGCCACCAAGGCTCTTGGTATGACATTTTTAGTTCTCCCAAATCACCCCAAAAAGTCCTGGTGTGGCGCTGTAGGATAAGTACTGGACTGCTAATCACAAGGTCAGGGGTTCAAATCCACCAGCTGCTCCTTAGAAACCCTGTACAGGGTTGCTAACAGTTGGAACCAACTCAGTGGCACTCAGTAACAACAAACACCCCCGGCCTTTGCCCGGGTGGCAGGGTCTTTCTCCGCTGGCTGTTTCCTTTCCTGCTTCCTTGTCCCTAGTACCTCCAGGGATGTGTGCACACACAACTTTAACTTTTCTGAAGGGACAAGCAGACCATCACATCCCAGGAAGAAAACTGCCCTCCCAACTGAGCTCTGTGCCTCACTGCCACCCCCTGTTTCCCAGGACACCCCACAAGTCGGGGCTCAGCTGGCTGGTTCTGCAGGAATGATGCTGTTTGATGGCATTCCATGTATAGCCAATTCATTTGACACCAGAATCCCTTTCCTTACCCCAATCCCAAACCAGACCCCGACTTTCTGGCATGACAGAGAAGAATTGCTCCATAGGATTTCCTCTGCTGTCACCCTTCTAGAAAGAGCCACTTGGCTTCTAACGGAAAGGCCAGAGATTCGAACCCACCAGCTATGCCATGGGAGAAAAACGTGGCAGTCTGCATCTGTAATGGTGTTAGCCTTGGAATCCCTGAGGGCAGTTCTACCCTCAATTGGAATGAACTCAACGGCAGAGCAGGACTGGGACCTTTCTAGAAGCAGTTCACCAGGTTTCTCTTCCGTGGTGTTGCTGGGTGGGTTCAAACCGCCAAGCTTTTGTTGAGCTGTAGTGAAGTGTAGGGTTTCCAAGGAGCGGCTGGTGGCTTTGAACTGCTGACCTTTCGGTTAGCAGTTCCATGCTTATCCTAGAGTGCCTCACAGACCAGTGCCGTCCAGGGCCCTAGTAACATAAAGTCTCTCGGACCAGTTGGGGGTGGTGCAGGTGTTGACCCTCCTCTCCCACCAGTATGGAAGTGACGAGTGGCCCCCTCCCCCCACACCCAGTGGAGCCAGTGCACGGGGCCTGCTGACCTTTGCACGTCTTCCCGTCTGGCTGCAGCGTGAATCCCACTGGACAGCTGCAGCGCACGCCGGTGGCTGTGTCCTTGCACGTCCGGTCACAGCCTCCGTTGTTGACAGCACACGTCTCTGGGAAGGGAAAGACACACACGCTCAACCTCTCCCCATCCATGAGACTTCTGACACTACCACGCTGTGGGGTCCCGGGGGAGTTGTGCTGCCTCTCTGAGCCTCAGGTTTCTCCTCTGTAAAATGAGGCTGCTAGGGAGGGCGTAACACAGCGACGGATGGGAAAAGTGCTTGGAAACTGTCAAGAGCTGTGCACAGGTAAAGGTTTCTACTGACGGTGCAAATGGAGGTTTGGGGGCCAGGCTGGTAGCTGACTGCCCAGGGCCAGACTCGGGTGGCTAGTGGGGCTCACCATCTACTCTGGGCACGGAAGGGCCGTGGCCCCGGCTGCATGAGCTGGGGGAAGGCTCGTGGATTTTGATACTATTCATCACCTTGAGGAGGCGCTCAGCCAACATCTGTTCTCACTGAACAGTCAGCCAGAGCATCTGGTTTTTGTCCACTTGAAGCTTGTCTAGTACTTCCCAGCTCCTTTCATAAACTGAAAGGGTTGGGGCCTAAGTGAAGCAACTGAATCCATTGAACTGAGGCCCCCAGGGTGGAGGGGGGAGGGCAGGGCTGGGGCGCCAGGTCACTGGGTGCGTGCCACGGCTCCGTTCTCTTCCTGCACATCTGGTGCGCTTTGATCTGATGGAGGCGGACTGAGTGGGCCGCCGGGAGCCACCTGCAGCCATCTTGTGCGATCTGTGAATTCCCCTGAGTGCTCCACCCTGGTTCCAGTTGGTGTCCGCCCTGGGGGCCCTTCTCCTGAGGGTCTCCCTACCAGCCGACTGTCAGTGACTCTCTGCTGGCTGTGTAGGTCCTGGCGGGGAGGGGGTGCAGGGATGAACGATCATAGGAGCTAGTGAGTAAGTGGACATCTACCCTCAGTCGCCAGGGGTCTCTCCTGTTCATTAGATCAAATTCCGGATGCTTTTCTTTTGAACTTCACCTTGGGAAGCCGGTGAGCAGCGTAGGGGGAGGAGGAAACCCTCCTCTGTGTCTGTGTGCATGCACACCTGTCTGCATTTTTGCGGGGTGGCTGTGGGGGTACTATCTGCTGCAGAATCTATTTGTTCTATTTGCGCCCAGTACATCCCCCTGGCTGACAAGCTGTGACCACCTGTTGATGCGTGATGTTGAATTCGACTCAGGTGCAGAGTAGGACTACATCATGGGGTTTTCACAAACTGATTGCCAGGCCTCTCTTCCGAGGCACCTCTGAATTGATTTAAATGACCAACCTTATAGTTAGTAACCGAGCGTTTAACCGTTTGTGCCACAAGCCTCCTCGCCCTGACACTCGCTCAGAGGTATGTCTAGACAACGACAGAGTAACCAGTGAGCAACGTAAACACGGGCAGCGAATAATTTCCGTTTTTATTGTCACCACACCGAAGAATCTGCTTCTAGGTCTGACTGGCATCCGTCTCTGTCTCCCAAGCCCACTGAACTATCCGACAGAATCAAAGCCTCTGTCACAGGACAGAGGACCAGTCAACAGAAGCGTCATAAGTTTTCAGCCTCTCGGCACAGCCTAAACCTCCAGCTGGGGAGGGCAGTTTCTCTGAATCAATCGCATACCCTCCTGGACCTTCTAGCCTGCTTGAGGCCCCAGACAGAGGTGGCTATGGCTTTACCTTTGCTCAGGCACATGGCTTTTAGGCTCGTCTCCTAGGGCAGGCCCCTCCGCGCTGACCCAGCACAGAGCCTGTGAACTGAGGCTCGGACTTCCCTCCCAGGACTGGATGAGGATCAAGTAACTCATCACCAAAGGGCTGCCACCCCTGAACAATAGTTGCTCAACAAATGCTCCATTCGTGTTCTCTCTTGGGGCTACGACCAGAGGGGAATCCTGGTCCCCACCCCAAATCAAAGAGCTCATATACACCCTCAAGTGCCTTTCAAGTGGGAGAGCCCCTCTCTGGAGAGGAGTGGAGGGGGCTTTCCAGATGCAAGTAATTAAGGCTTATGCCTCGGGGAAGTGGGGAGTCCTCCAGTGAGGGTACAGTCAGGGTGGCCTTCCTCAACAACACCGAGATGACCCCCGGGCCTTTCTGTGGTGGGGAGTTGGGGGTTGTATCCCTGAGAAATGGACTCAGCCAAACAGGCTCCAAGCGATCTTGTCTTCAGAAAGCTACGTTGGGTCTCTGGAATCTGTTGGCCAGAGCTGAGGGGCCTCAGGAGTCTCCTGACCTACTCTGCCCCTGGGGACAGACTGAGGTTGGGAGGTGGGTCTCTGGCAGAGTCTTCTCCATGCCCTGTTGATGGCTGGAGACCACCTCTTGGCAATCCCCTGCCTAGCAGCCTGTGAGCAGGCTACTCTTGGGCTCCCCACTCCACTGACCAGACCTTGAAGCCATGGGCCCTGCCTGAGACTACACCATGGAACCGGATTGACCTAGCTCCACTCCTGAGGCTCCTTGGGGTCAGTGGTCACATAATAGCCTTTAGATGTCAGCCTCCAGCCAGCACCACTAGGTCCCCACTGGAGTCTTAGTTCTCTGAAGAGCACTCCATCTGCCCAAGGCTGAAGCTTCTCCATCCCCAATCCTGACCTATGCCCATCTCCTGTTTCAGGCCTGCTCTTGATGCTGCGGCCTATGTGAACACCTCACCTCCACTGGTCCCTCCCCAGGACCACACGTCATTCTGTGAGGCTGAGGACTGGCCCTTCACTGCCCCCACCTCAGTCTCACTTAGCTATGCCAACAGCTGCGTTCACCATGGGCTTCCTCGGTGCTGTCCTCAGGCGCACCCCTCCTTCGGCCTAATGCCCCCTCCAAGATGCAGGTTCAATCTTGCCTGCCCACCTTGCTGTGCTGCTCCGGGGTTCATAAACTAGGTAATCAATACCACACACGTAGAAAGAGGGGCAGGGACTAAAGTTGGGGGGCTGGGGACTGACATCTCCAATCACAGGACAGAGCGTCCGGATGAGCCTGAGGGTGGGGTGGGGGTGGGGGCAGCCCAGACAGAGGCTTCTGGTGGCTGCTGAGGAGGCTCCCTGCTAGGTCTTCCATCTCTGAACACCCTAGGGAGCAGCCTCAAAACAGGGGCTCCCTAACAACAGAGACCACCACCGTCTCAGAGAGATTCTGAAACCATCCCCATCCTGTCCCTACAGCTGGGAGTCTTGAGTATGGGGTCATCCCAAACACAGGAAGCACAGGGCCTTGTGATAAATACCCCATTCAGAAATGCACACTGGGGGGAGGGGTGACCTCAGGGCTATGGGATGGGAAGGAGAACCGAACCCAGCAGACCACGGCTCATGGATACTTTGCCCTGGGGTCCTGAGATGTTCCTTTCTGATAGCCTGCAAGGCTCCCTGTGTCCCTGTGACAGCTTCCGGATCTTTAGCATAGTGGTTACGAATCGGGCTGCAAACCTTAAGGCCAGCAGTTCGAAACTACCAGGCGCTCCGCAGGAGAAAGATGAGACGTTCTGCTCCCGTAAAGATTTACAGCCTCGGAAACCCTGTACAGGGTCGCTATGGGTCGGAACCGACTCTACGGCACTTAACAACCACAACAACAACTCTGTACCTGAGGAAACAGTGGGGACCACCCTCCTGGGTCCAGCCCTCATCCTCCACTCCTCCCCCGGGTCTCACAGCAGCAGGAAGAGGCCTTTTACAGGCAAGGGAACTGAGGCTCAGAGTTCAGTGACCTGCCCACCCAGGACTGACGACATCACTTGCTGGGTTCAGGATATACGGTCCCTTGTCAAGCAATTATTAAGAACCTCAAGACAGAGACTGCAGACCACTAAACCAGTCGTGGACCCTCCTAGTGGAAAGGGGATCTGTGGATAGCCTGGGTCACAGCTGTTGGGAAGGGTCAGCTCTTGAAGCCACAGCTGTGATACTCCCGAAGGATGCGTGGACCCTGGCAGGCCAAGCTGCGCTCAGCGAGTGGGAGAACACACCTACTCCAGAGCTTTGATGGTCAAGGGAGAGGAAGGTCAGGGGTGGGGCCGTGCTCTCCAGTGTGGAGGGGCCCTGGCGGGACCCCCTTTCCAGCAGAAGTCCAAGTGAAGCTGAGAGATCTTGTCTTTGTTCTGTCCTGTGGAGCTTGGGTGCGGGAGACAAGCTCATGCTAGCCCCTACCATATGCTGGGCCACGGCTCTGACAGGGCAGCTGGGGTGAGCAGTACTGGAAACCATGAAGTGGGGAGGGCGGAGTGAGGGGCCTGTGTGGTCTGGGGGCAGTGCCCACCATGGGAAACCATGAAGTGGGGAGGGCGAAATGAGGGGCCTGTATGATCTGGGGGCAGTGCCCACCATGGGAAACCATGAAGTGGGGAGGGTGGAATGAGGGGCTTGTGTGGTCTGGGGGCAGTGCCCACCAACCACGGCAGGAAACCCACGAAGCCAGAGGCAGGAAGCCAGGGCTCCAAGGCTGGCTATGTGGACAAGCATGTGCTTCCTCAGTCTGAGTTTCCTGACATGGACCTAAATGACATTTGCCACAAAATGGGGGATGGGAGGGTGCTCTGTCCTGGCGCAATCCCTCAGGCCCTTCCTCAGAACCTGTGTATACGGAGTCCAGCTCCCAGTCAGCTGTGGACCCCCCAGTGATTTTCCTACTTTGCAGCAGGCATGTGGGCCCTGAGAATCCCGGGACACTGTGCTTGTCTGTCTGTCTAACCGTTTGTAGTAATTGATGCTGCTGGCTGGGGCTGGGGCTGGGGCTGGGGGGGCAGCAGTTACAGAGATGAATAGGACATAGACTGGCTTCTCAGGGGAGGCAAGGCCTTGGCCCTTCTCGAAGGCATGTGGCCCAGTCTCTCCTACGGCCCAACACCCCACAGAGAGGGGCGGCAGGTGGCTCCCTGGCCCACCCTGACGTCTTCCTCAGGAGTTAGTGCCTTCAGGGACAGGCTGGACTTCGTGTTGACGTTAAGTGCCATCGATCTGCTTCTGACTCATATTGATCCTATACAGGGTTTCCTAAGAGTAGCTAGGGGGTTTCAATTGTCGACCTTGCAGTTAGCAGTCCAGTGCTTATCCTACAGTG